GGGGATGCCCTCCCCATTGCCATGCGCAAGCAAACGCTGCCAAACTCACCCCCAACCACCCACCCCATCCCCAAACTGCCACAGGGCTGCAGCAGCAGCCGGGACACAGTCTTTTCCCTAAGAAACACCCCCACAACCCCATTTTACCCTGAGCCACCCCCCCCAAGAGCCGCAAGAGGGGTTCTGCTCCGTACCTCCTTGGGTGAGAGGATGGAGATGTAGTCCTCGTAGATCATCCTGGCCTTCTCGTCGATGGTGTGCTTGTTGCACTCGGTTTTGAGCTCCTCGCACGCCAGCCAGAAGAGCATGTTCTCCTCGCTGTACTCAGTCCGCAAGAACTCCCGGAAGACGTTGCGACCCGCCGGGCTCTTCATCAGCTTGTCGAAGGACTGTGCCCAGCCCCGCACCTCCTCCGACGTGGGTTTGGTGCTGCCGAGTCCCAGCGAGGAAGGCAAGAGGACAGCGTTATGGCCAGCCACAAAGGGCTGTGGTCTCCCCATGTCTCATCCTGGAGGGACCAAGCCCGAACACATCCCCTGGGCCCACATCGAGGCCACTCCTGCCTGGGCTCTGGATCACAGAGGCTTTTGGAGGTCACTCATGGGGTCTGGCCTGGCTTCGCTCAGCTGGGCTGGAGTGTGGGCTTGCTTTAAGCTGAATTTCCCAAGCAGAGATGTACTTTGGTGCTGGCTTTGCACAAATCCAAATCTGCTGCAGGGCGGCAGCTCTGAGCTGCCCTGGCTAGGACAGACGGACATGGGTCCATCATCCCTAACAGCTGGGAGAGGGAGGGAGGCTGCTCCCCAGTAAATACTCATTACCTGCTAAAGCAGGCGGGAGCAATCATCAGTGGCTAATTAGACATCTGAGACCTAACAGAGCGCACCAATGGTACCCATCCCTCAGGGAGTGGGTGTTTGGTGCAGGGCATCCCCAGAGCAGGGTGCCTGCAGGATGAGGCTCTGCCCTCGGGACACGGCCAGAAAGCTGCTGAGGTCCTTGTGTGCCTCAGTTTCCCCTCTGCAAGAGGCCCAAGGGCCAGAATTGCAGGCGGCTGCAGCACTCCTGGGGCTCCCTGTTTCTCAGTGGGAAGCAGGGCCACGCTGCTGGAGGCAGCACCAGGAACCCCCAAGCCCTGGCACCCCGATTCTGCTCCCCGTGGGTGCACCAGGGCTGGGTGCCATGGAGGGTGGCAGCGGGGGCTGTGCCACACCGTACCCGTCTCCCCGGCCCACCCCTGCAGTGCTGCCCCTGCACTCACCACGCTTCACAGTTTGGGATGGTCTCCAGTTTGGTCTCCCGGGACGCCCTCCACGCTCGCTCCCGGTCCTCGTTCCTAACGGGGAGACAGAAAGGTAGTCAGGGGCGTTGGGGATGCACCCACACCCTCATCTTGACCCCCTGACTGGCCTTGGCCACCAAGTCTCCTTTGTGGGCACCAACACCACCTCACCCAGCTCCTCCCCAGCACCCAGCCCGCCCCAGCACCCGCTGCCCTGGGAGCACCCCCACTCCCTTGTGCAATTTTGCCACCACCGTGCAAGGGCATTTCCTGGGCTCGGCACCACTGCAGCCTTGGGGACGTGGGGCCGGGGCGGGCCCGGGGCGCGCGCGGGGC